GATGTAGAATCGGTGGGCGGGGCTAAACAGACAGTGATGTTGAATCGGTGGGCGGGGCTAAACAGGCACCGCTGTAGAATCGGTGGGCGGGGCTGAACAGGCACTGCTGTAGAATCGGTGGGCGGGGCTAAACAGGCAGTGATGTTGAATCGGTGGGCGGGGCTAAACAGACAGTGATGTTAATGTCCTGCGTGCTCGGGGTTTATCCACACTATTACATCATAGAGTAGAACACTCCACAAGCTGTGGTTTTAGCAGACTGCCTTCAATATAAGCTGTTTTTAGACTAATGAGAAAGTTTTAACTTCTGAAACATACAAGATGTTTTTATAGCACAATGACCTTTTATATATGAAAAGAGATCAAGGGAATTTTGGTTTCTGAGTTGATGACCTTTGAACACACTGTGTTGTTTGTGAGCTAATGGTGTTTGTCTCTGTGGTGAGCAGTTGTTCAGAGAGGGCCGTGTGATGCTGGCTCTGATGCTGCTGGTGAAGCCGAGCTCGTCTGCGGAGCGCAGCCGCAGACACAGACACAGATGGAGCTCCAGACAGCAGGAGGAGCTGCAGCTGCAGGCTCTGTCCACACTGAGCGCTCTTGCTCCGCTGATGCTGGACGAGTACATGAGCTGTCAGGCCAACACCTGTCTGCTGCTGCTGCTGGACTGCTGCCTGCAGGACGGTACAACACTCACCGTGCACTTCATTCACCCGCACACTGATTAGGGCCCTAAACGCTCTTAAACCAGAGCAGAAAGTCTTAAATCCATAAAGGCATGGCATTAAATGTTGCATGAACTGCAAAAAATGAATCTCTTCCTCAGTATTTCTGTCTTGTTTTCCAGTACACATATCTAAACATCCTTCAATCAAGACACATTTACTGGAGATGCAAAATGAAGATATAAAGTCTTGTTTTCTAAAAAAAACAAGAACAAAATGGAGTTCATGATTAAAACAAGAACAAATGAAGAGCCTCTAAGTGCCTTTTGACATTTTCTTCTAAACTGAGCTCCTATGTGTAGGTTGAGTTATTTCACTTTAATGGCAATTAATAGGTTCTTTTCATTGGCATTAAAGTCAAATAACTGAACGTATACATAGGATCCTGAGAAAAATGCTCAGTTTAGAAGAAAATGTCACACAGCATTAAGAGGCTTTTGCATCTGAACTCTTCAAATATTGATTAAACAGTGATTTGTTGACTCAAGAACAGCTGTAATTGGATCAGTCTTATTCGCAAATGAATCGTTCAGTGCAATTTGTGAACCAGTTGATCACAGGAAAGAATCCGTTCGTTCACGAATCGGACATTGTGTGTCACAGGCAGTGGTGGTTTCTTCAGAATGGAATTAAAAAAGTAGAAGTACAAAGTTTGATACTATGCTTTGGAACATAGTGAAGTAATACTTTCCCAAAGTAAAAACCTCTCTGATAAAGCAGCAATTCTGAAAGTTGAAGTGTTCTGTCGCTGATCGAGACCTGTCTGTCAGACTCCTTCAGTGGGCGGAGTCACGGTTTCCACGGCAGCGGCGGCGGGAGGAGGGCCCAGCTGCGCTACTGTGTGCGTGTGCTCCGATCCGTGGCATCTGTGGAGCACGAGCCGCTCCTGCAGGACCTGTGCGATCAGGGCGCCATCGGCCAGCTCTTGGGTGAGTCCCCTTCAGTCTCTGACAGTCTCCTACAGCTCAGACTGACTCACAGCGGCTCTGTGTCCAGGTGTGCTGCGCTGGTTCCTGGGGAGGCCGCAGGACGAGGACGCTGTGGCTCTGGAGATCCAGACGGACTGTCTGTTCCTGCTGTCTGTGCTCTGTGAGGGAGACGTGCACAGGAAGGTGAGACGCGTCTCCTGCTGTCTCACAGCGCCGCTGTACTCTCTCCTGATGACTGACGAGCGCTGCTTGTGTTCAGGAGCTGTTCGGGACTGACGGGGTGGAGGTGCTGATCCAGTATCTGAGTCTGGACGCCGCGCTGGTCTCCAGCGGTCTGGGTCACAATAAACTGCTGCTGTCCACCGTCGACTGTCTTTGGTGAGACGCGCGCGTCTTTATCTGTTCACACCAAGAACAATAGTTTTAACTATAACCATAACGATATAACGTTCTGTTTATTGTAATCACGCTGCAGTCGTGTCACTTTAAATTTGGGCTGAAAATATTGATTCTCATTTTGATAAACCAGTACTGATTCCTAAATCCCAATAATCGATCTGTGCTGTTTTCAGATGATGCCTGAACAAAACATTTGTAGCTGCTCCTGTCCAATAATCACAAAAAACTGTTACTTTTGATATAAAACAAAGTCTCCGCTTCCAAATTCTGTCAGTTTTATTATGAAATGTAATCAGTAAATGTGTTTTTGTGGCTCTTTAATGTGCGCTGAGCATCTGTTCCTCTTTACTACTAGTTACAGCAGCAAATAACATGAATGGACAGCAGAAACAGAACAGCTCACTGAATCAATAATGTCACGTAACATCACATTTACCTTAAAAAAGACATTTAATGTCCATAAACTCAATAATCAGCTAGAAAAGTAACTCTAGAGAAGAGCATTTTGATCTATATATGCACTTTATTTCATATTCATTATATTTACTGAATTAAAACATTAAACATTTAATATAAAAAAACAAAAAAACATTTAATATTTAATGTGTTTGAATAAATCTGTCACGAAAACTTTACTTATGACATCCACTGTTTAAATGTATATATTTCAGCAACAAACTGGAGTAGATACATAATTACATTATTAAAACATTATCATAATAATTTTGTATTATATAAGGCATTTTATTATGGAAACTGCCTTATGTGCAATTTAAATGTTTATGAATTACTATGAATCACTAATATAGTAATGTAACGACTGACAGAGTTTATTATAATGTTTACAGCATTAGTTAAAAAAACTTCCTTGAAAAAAGTTGACATGCACTGAACCTGATTGCCTAAATATCCAAAATTGAGATTGAAATCAAATCAAGTTTGTGAATCGAAATCGAATTGAATCATGAAATGTGTCTTAATCAGCAGTCTACTTTAAATGCTGGAGCTCGTCAAAGTCAGATGGATTCTGATTGGCTGTCACTGTTTTTATGGTTCAGAATGTTCTGGGGTGTGTTAGTTCCATTTAACTCTATTGGTAACAGAACTTGCAACCATAGTTGCTTTTGGGAAACGCTCTCCTGAAAGTGATTCCAGCGATACTGTTCCACTGTGTCATTATGAACTCCGCTGTTCTTTTCAAATCTAGAATGAGTTTAAAACTATATCTTAATTGTGAATGTGCTTTCACTCATTCATTCTCGAAAGCGACTCCCTGTGCGAAGGTGTCTGCAAAATGACCAGAGGAAGAGGTTTTCCGCTCACATAGAGAGATGAGAATCTCCTCAGGTGTGCTGTGATCTCTCGTGTCTCTCTCAGGTCCTGTGTGCTGGGGTGTTTCGGTACGGAGGATGTGTTCGTGGCCGGCGGCGGCGTGGATCTGCTGCTGCAGCTGCTGCAGGTGAGAGCTGCGCTCTGCAAACACACAAACACATACTCATACTTTTTTCAGTTTCACAACGTGTTCACATACTGATCATTTACTTTAATTGATGGACAAAGACATTTCTCCATAAAAATCTATGTAATAACAAACTTAGCACATTTCTTTTATTCTTTTTTGGGTTTGTTTAAATAGGCTATGACTCATATTTTTGTCTGGTCTTCATTATTATGACTGGCTTCAGTCTAGCGCGAGTTTAAGCACTCTCAAAACAACTCCCGTTATAAACAGTGAAGCTGTGGATCTCTTACTTACATCTGCACTTTATTGTTTATGATGAGAGAATGCAGTCCGCTAGCGCGTGCACTGAACAAAACTCATCTGAACGCCTCTGATTGGCCGCTGCATTCATAAACTCAACAGAATCGTGTGTAATTGGTTGCAATGCAGACATTAGCAGATCTAAATTTAATGTCACAATGCACACTTTTTATTTAATTTTCACTTTATTCGCGACAGCTGTATTAGATTTAGTTAAGTTGTACAGGGGAATTTTTGGTCGCATTTTTTCCCAAGACCCCCGTTAATTTCCGACCAGTGTCCAGGGAAGCCTTGCCCAGCCTTACACACGCTCCACCTGCCACCAGCATCATGAAGTGTACAGCAGATGCGATGGTGTTATCGCCGCTAAATCCCGCTCCCGCTGAATGACAGACCATTACTGCCCGCTCCCACAAACATTCTAATATTGTATATAGTATGCTATCAAGATGCAGGATATTGAAATCGCTTTTGAATGAGCGTTTGCTGTTCACTTTCTCTTTGGATTTGGTGATCTTGTGCACTCTGTGTTAAGGAGCACATCTTACGAGATCAGATAAATGTGAGCCTGCAGCACAAAAGCAGTGTTAAGTCGCTGGGGGATATTTGTAGCAATAGCCAACAATACATTGTATGGGTCACAATTATACATTTCTCTTTTATGCCAAAAATCATTAGGATATTAAGTAAAGATCATGTTCCATGAAGATATTTTGTAAATGTCCTACCGTAAATATATCAAAACGTAATGTTTGATTAGTAATGTGCATTGCTAAGAACTTCATTTGAACAACTTTAAAGATGATTTTCTCAATATTTAGATGGTTTTGCACCCTCAGATTCCAGATTTTCAAATAGTTGTATCTCAGCCAAATATTGTCCGATCCTAACAAACCATACATCAATGGAAAGATTATTTATTCAGCTTTCAGATGATGCATAAATCTCAATTTCAGAAAATTGACCCTTATGACTGGTTTTGTGCTCCAAGATGAGATATTTGTCAGTGAGCTCAGGATCTGTTGAGCAGCAAATCCTCCAGCATGATCTGTCAGTCATCTCTCCTTACTCTCGACCCGAGATCGTCAAATCTCACTCCTGCATGAATTATATTCGACTGAATTGCTTGTATTGAAATACTTTGCATTCTACCGGTGATAAGCTGCTCTAGATGTTCAGTTTTGTGAAGGAGGGCCGCTGGCAGGAAGCCTTGTATAGGTTTGAGTGTGTGTGTCATTGTGTGGTGTGTTTGCCTGTGTGGCGCGCAGCGGAGCCCCAGACACATGCTGACGCCGCTCGTGTCCGTGCTGCTGGAGCTGTGTGAGAGTCCCCAGGCCATCACACGCCTGCTGCGCTGGAGCGGAGAGAGAGACGCCAGCGCACCGCAGCTGCTGCTGCACATCTGGAGGAGAGAGGAGGAGCAGACGGGCGTCTCACGAGACCCACACGGCATGATCACAGGTGCAGACGCCATAAAACAGAGCTATCACAGCCAAGCACCTGTCAAACTAAAACTCTTACTGAAAAACCATGAAATATTTCATTTGTTTCACTGCATGTCATGTGACCATTAAACATATTAACTTCAAATCTCAGGGTTAGGGGGCTCAGAGATTAAAGTGCTCTGTGATTAAAGTGAGCATGAAATCAACATGGAGCTTCTTAATGGAGCCGTCAGTGAACGTGATCGACTCGAAGAGCGTCTCCTCCTGCATCAAGCATAACCTGTTTGTTTCTCTCGACAGTGAAGTGACCAGATGCTCTGTTAAGACTCTCTCTCTCTCTCTCTCTCTCTAATAGATGTGAAGAGGCCGATTGTCTCTCGGCATCAGGATGAATCTTCATCATCATCATCGTCATCACATGACGTCAGTGCTGCTGTCAGAGACGTGTCAGAAAACCTGCGTGCAAACATCTACTGCATCTTCTGCAAACTGGGTACGAGAGAGAACAGTGTGTGTGTTGAATCAATCAATCAATCAATCAGCTATATTTTATGTATAAAGCCCTTTTCCTAACGAATCAATGCAGTTCAAAATGCTTTACAGTCAAAAACAAGCGATTGGCACCAAGTTTAAACAGTAAATGAAGTGAGGTGCAAACGTTGCATACAACAATAACATTAAAACATTTTTGGATGTTGTTGAATGCTTCAGTTTTAGTTATATAAATGACAGTTTGTTTGTTTGTTTGTTTTATTTGTATGTAGTTAATGCTTCTCTGAGTGCAAGAAAAATCAAGGATATGATCTGATCTGCTCATAGATTTGAAAAGATAATGAGCCTGTAGTTTAGTGCAGATTACAGGTTGTTTTCAAAGACATTTAGTAGTTTAAATCAAAGCTTGGAATGAAAGGTGTGTTTTAAAGTAACATCTGTGGTTCTCAATGATGATCTGCAGGATTTGAGCGTCTGTCGGGTTTGAGTGCCGAAGATCACGTCACGCTCAGCATAATCCACCGATACCTGGACTTCAAGGTGAGTGTGTGTGTATGAGTGTATGAGTGTGTGTGTGTGAGTGTGTGTGAGTGTGTGTGAGTGTGTGAATGTGAGTGTGTGAGTGTGTGAGTGTGTGTGAGTGTGTGTGAGTGTGAGAGTGAGTGTGAGTGTGAGTGTGTGTGAGTGT